GCAATAAAAGGCCAAAAAAAAACTTTAGTTAATTAAGTTGCATACTATCATATTACTTTGCATCACATTGTGTCATGTTGAATCGCATTGTATTAAATCTGAATGTTTCACAATAGGGGCGAACTGTATTGTGGGCGGCTGTGGCTCAGAAGCAGAGCGGGTGTCCCCAATCGGAAGGTTGTTGGTTCAATCCCGGCTCCTCCTGCCAGTGTCGAAGTATCCTTGAGCAAGATACATGAACCACAATTGCTCGATGCACAGCATCGGTGGTGTGAATGTGTATAATGAGTTGTTTCTGTTCGATGGACATCACTGAGTGAAATGGTGTGGTGAAAGGGTGAAATGTGGCACGTAGTGTAAAGCGCTTTGAGTGAACCTCAGAAGACTAGAAAGCTATAACAAGTATCAGGTCATTTACATTTACCATTTTATACATTGGTAGTGGCTTCACATGTATTTTTAATATATCGTAAAGTTGGTTGTTTATCGCATCAGCTTCAGTGATGCAGATGCACGTCACTACTGCATACAACATACAAAAGCAGCTGATAATACTGAAAAATCCAGAGTACTAGTTGACTTTCAGTCTGTGTATAATATTCTTATAATACCCGTATAGCAACAGCAGCAACACCTTCCTCACACACACACACATACACACAGAGCTCAGCTCAACTAATGGCATTTTCATGAGGAAGATCAGAGATCAATTACACATTTCACTTATAAAATAGTTTATTTTCAGTTGTAGCAGTAGTACTGTATTGTAGTAGGCACTGGGTGTGCTGCACATATACTCACTTGGTTATTTCCATTTTTCCTTTTCCAGGGAACGTGGAAGTGTTTGCAAATCAACTTGTTCACCTGTTTTTAAATTTTGTTTTATGATTTATTCATTTTGTCATCAATCTACTTCGGTTGATTCCCATATTTATATCACATCCCTCTGCTAGCAGGATGCTTCCAGTAGTTTTTGTTTTCTCTTCTCTGTATTTGAGCCAACACCTGGTATTTATCACAAACAGTAACGTGAAAGAAACTTCTTCACCAAATGATCCACCAATTAAAACTTTCAGGTTTTCCTGAACATTTTCCCCATTCAAACAAATGTTAAAAATTCTAGCATTTTTAATTTTTAATTTTTCATGCATTTTCAACTCTACACTACTCATTCATACTTTCATTCATTTCTTCTATTATTCAACTTTCAAATCCCATTCAAACTAAAAATATGCAACTGAGTGGGTACAATGGAACCCACTCATTCGTACACTGACATAGAAACTCCATTTAAACTTTTAGGACTCTTAGGAATTTGAATTTTCTCTCTCTCTCTCTCTAGAACATCCACGGTCATAAGGGTCCGATCACAGCGGTGTCGTTTGCCCCTGATGGCCGTTACCTGGCAACTTACTCCAGCGCTGACAGCCACATCTCCTTTTGGCAGGTAAATGAGTCACACACACACACACGCATACAGTACATTTGTTTCTCACATTCTCTTATGACAAGACATGATTTCTTTCTTAAGTCTTAAAGGGCTTTAAAGCCATCACAGCTGATATTCTCTCTGCTTTAGTAAACACCGTTGGATTTGTATCTCAGTTCACGTCAGAGAAAGCTTTTTCCCCCCAGTCCCTATTTAAGATTTGAAAGGTCCGGTGAGTAAGATTTAGTGGCATCTTATTGTAGTTGCAGAGTGCAACTCACTCCTTTTTACCTTCCTTTCCACAACTAGGGAGGAAACTACGGTGTTTTTTTACTGCGTGAGAAACTGCTTGACACAGTGGACTAGTGACATGAAAGCCTGTGAAAAGTCTCACGATCAGTGCGGTGAGTTGACAGCCTGTGGCTAATGCTAGTAAAACTGTAAGATAATGTTAACCAAGAGTGAAAAAATCCCCATTATCTCCAGCAACAAGCTAATTAGTTACCTGAAGATGTCAACGAGGATGTCGAATTTGTTGCACCTGGAGGGGTGAACTTCAGCACTGGCTGCAGACGTGCTAATATTAGCTGCTGCTGCAGGGGACTTTGCTTTTAGGTTATCAAACAAGGTAACGTAACATTCTTCAGGTTCTATGTATTTGACCTGGCCAGCTTTACGTTTGGCAATACAAAGCCTGCGTCCCCTGCTCTCAGGTAGCAAAATGTGGCACCAATTAAATAAACATGAAAAGGTACTCAGGAGTACCGACGTAATTCATTTGGTACCCTTAAAATTACACAGTTTGGTACCCAGCCCTATTCCTCTGGCTTTTTATATTTGATTTAATTTAATTCTCATTTATTTACATTAATGTTTATCTTATGGTTTATAAACAAAAAAACATTCAAGCAAATAAAAGTCCAGTGCACAAAAGAAATCCGAACCACATCTATATAAACAGTAATAAATAAACAATAATAACGTCAGTCAGGCGAGCAGTCACACAGGTAAATGATAAACACACACACACATACACACTTCTTATCTTCTTCCCAGAACTGTTATTTTGAATGAAAGGTCTTTACGACCTCTGACACGACTGTCTCCAGACACACACACACTAATGGCATTACTGTAAGCATAAACCGCTGCTAGCGCGCCGACAAGACGGCTGCTGTGGTAATGAGCTGGCAGACGCTCTGTCGGTGTGTGTGTGTGTGTTTGAGTGAGGGGCGGTGTCGTCTCAGGAAATGATAGAGTTTCTACTCGCAACTCTCTTTTCCTACGCACACAGTTTCAGGCTCTGCCTCCTTCACAGGACACAGTGACAGAGGCCTCACGGGTTAATCTCCATGTTCCCTCTGAGCGTTCAGCAGCTCCATCACTAACAGGAACTGCTGATGAGGGTCTTCTTACCAAAATATTCACTAACTCATTTTTCACTAGGATTACTGGTTTCTAAGTGTAATCATTAACATCAGCTTAGTGTTAGCATTACCAAATTTAATAAAAAAAAATCCACCCACCATGTATCTGGCAAATATATTGAATATTTGCTGATTCAGGTTTGTCCTGTGTGAGAATTTGCTGCTTTCTCTAACATTTGAAAACACTACTTTAGATTCTGGTAAGGGCTGCACTGATACCACTGTTTTTCAGACCAAATACAAAAACAAATTCTAACACTTGGGTACTTGCCAATACCGAGTACNNNNCTTTCTTTCTTTCTTTCTGTCTTTATTCCAAAATAAATTAATTCAAGACAGAATAATACGATAATCCTAAATACAATCCAGAAACGTATCCTTTTAGTAATAACATTAAGACCCAACCATGGTGAGACTTTTGTATGTTTTGTGCTAGTTGTCGACATACAAAACATAGTTCAGTCAAATAAATTGTTTGATTTTTTTTTTTTTTACATTAAGGTTTTTCCACTAAGCTAGTGGTTCCCAAACTTTTTCCTCAAGGGACCCCTTTTCTATCATTTAGTAAACTGATAATCCCTGACTGACATATTTTATATTTCATATTATATTGAAAACTGTACAATGAACTCAGTAACTGCAAGAAGGTTGTATAAAACGAGTGATTTGGATGACTTCTGAGCAGATTATTTTCTGTTTAGGGAACTTTTTATACAATTCTCTGTCTGTATTATGTATTTTGTAATGTATTTTTAAAAGATTTGTTTTAACAATCATACAAACTTACAAGTCTTTGACAGATTCAGTGTTTTCTTGTCTCTGCTGCTTGGCCATAGTTAATAATAGTATATAAGTTATAAGAGATATAGGCCTACTCTGTATATTTTTCTAGTGGCCCCTAAAGTCAAGAAGGCATCACCCCCCCCTTTGAAGCTTTGGTGACCTCTAGTGGGGGTCCTGAACCCCAAGTTGGGGATTGCTGTACAAAGCATTTTGTAAAATGTATTATTAAAGTGATATATGAGCACACATAATCATAGGTCAAAACATTGCTAAATTTGGCTGAATTATAAAAGTCAGAAGATACTATTAATATTATTTCTGAGCTGTACCAAATGATGTGAAGAAGGAGCTGGGATTTACGTGTCTCTTGCCCCCTTCAGATGAACACTAGTCTGCTGGGCAGCATCGGGATGCTGAACTCTGCCCCTCAGCTTCGCTGCATTAAGACCTACCAGGTTCCTCCCGTGCAGCCGGCATCCCCAGGCTCCCAGAACTACCTGAAGCTCGCCCGCCTCATCTGGACCTCCAACCGCAACGTAATCCTCATGGCCCACGACGGCAAGGAGCACCGCTTCATGGTCTAAACAAGATCTGTGTCTCCAGCTGAGCCCCCAGTGTCCGGTATCTGACAGACCTTGACCTGTTTTAGGGTTTTTGCTTTGAGGCAGAGGGTTAAGTTTTAGCTTCAAATATGTATCTTGAGCTGCTGAGTTCAACAATTGATGGAGGCTGAAATTAAGTGAGGCTGATAGCTCATTCAAAGGTTTGTCTTTAAAAAAAAGAAAAGACACGTGAAAAACGTGAAAAATCTGCAGCTCGATTGTCGAAGTAAAAACCCTGCTCAGGTCCAGGTTTGGACTGTGATAATTGTAAGGACCCCCACTCTGTAATATATTTAAAAGTCGTGATAGAAGGCTTGTTTACATTATGATTTTTAGTTATGATTTAGTATTTTTTGTTTTGTTTTTACACTTTGTTTCTATTCCTATTTATTTGCTGTTTTTCCCAGATGTCCTCTGTTGCCATCTTGCTGCAGCCATTTGGGTCACAACTGTTGCTGTTTATTCAAAACTGGCTTCCCACCTTTTTTAGTTTACTTATTATTAAATGTTTGTAAATTATTGCAGGTATTTGTGGAGTCACTTTGCAGAAACAGTGATTGGAACATGGTATAACACATACCCTGTTTCCAACAATGTGAACCTAGTGCTAGTTCTGGGCTGGTACTAATGCCAGTTCAGAGTTGTTCAACTTGAGAACCTTCTAAGAACCGGTTTGCTTTTCCACGGGCTAGAGAGCCACCTTAGAGCCATGTCCTTACTGTGATGTTGCATTACATTACCAGCGCAGCTGGCTGTTGGTCAACTAAGGTTATCCAAGAAGGCATACTACTCATTTTATTGATGAGAAAATAGTAGCTATGCTTGCTTGGATAATGTTAGCTGACCAACAACTAGCTAGCTCAATGCTATATTTGTAACATCTACGTGCTAAACAGCTAATACATTTATAGATTACTGGCCACAAGGCACCCCCAGCCCCTGTTCTAACAGCTTTTTAAAGTTAGCTTGGAAGTCAAAAAGTGAAACAACCTAAAAGTAATTTCTTTAATTTTAGTTGCTGGAATGAATTCTTTCTGGTAGACTGTTGAAAACGTTGCCCACTTGAAGGATTTGGTACTCTCTGACCTCTGTAAGACAAGTACACACTTTTCACATCTCAGACTGTGTGTGTGTGTGTATGTGTATGTGTGAGTTTGTTTGTGTAAGTGAGTACTTTGGTGTTTGCTTTTATTTTGTGACACCTTGGACTCTTTCCCATCCTCTCTGAGATTCATCCAGAAATGTGTGTGTATGCGTTTACACCCTGAGTGTATTTTCACAAACACACATTCTCACTTCAGCCAGCTTGTCCTAAAAGCACGATCACAGTATAGCTTCAGACACTGGAGGTGCAGCATTACACACTGCAGATATTTTTTTAAAAAAAGACAAAAACTAAAGCATCTTATTATTTTAGGAGATAACGGAAACAGTGTTGTTCAACAAAAGAGGTTCCGTGGTACCAGTCCTAACTCACTCAAAGATATTTTGATAATTATCAAAAGTTGGTAATTTTTCTTCAAAATGTCTTCCCATTCTTGATTTCACTTTGCATTGATTCTGAATCAGATTCTGTCTGATTTGTCAGTCTAGTCATTCTTAAACAGTTTGGTGTTCTTAGCCTGTTTTATCACTGGATTCAATTCTATGTTCACATTTTGCTCCAAGTTCCCATGTTTCTTTTTCTTTTTTTTTTGTTTACGGGTCAAGTCACTCACTTCCTCTGGCTTCTCTAGAGTTTCCTTCCCTTGGATGTGAAAACTCTTTGTATGTTTGAAGGAAAACAAGTCACTTGTTTTTTATGGGAGGATTGTGTGTTTTTTTGCAGACAATAAGGCTTTATATGTCGCTAATAGATGTGAAGACTACTCTTCGTCCTGCAAATTTTTCTCTTTCACCTGCTCATGTGTTGGGAGGGTATGTCTAGATACAAATGTGTACATATACAGTATATATATATATATATCAGAACTGCTGTGTAATGTAGTGAAGTTATTCCTGTACAGTGAGCTTTGATCCCATTTGGTGTATTTGTTGTGGCTAATGTGACTGTCTGCCTGGCACTGACTAGTTCTTCAAATGAGTGAACTTTAGATTTTCACATTAGATTTTTCAGAAAATGAGAAGCAATTTTTTTTCTTTTGGTTTTAACAAGAAACATAAACTGGCCCAGACTATTTAAGATTAACTAAAAGGTCCAAAAATGGAAAAGTCTTCTTATTACACAATCCTTTTATTGAGAGAAACAAAAGGTTATTATTGGACATATTTACAGTTTAATAATTGCATCTGTTCTCTAAAATCTGCAGTAGGTTATTTTAATAAAAATATTTTCCTGTCATATTTGCTGAAACTTCAACTATATACGCTACAGTAGTACATAAGAGAGATAGTCTAGGAAGAAATCAGGTTCCTCTGGCTCGTTCAGTGCTCCTAATGGCATTTGCAAGAATCAGCCAGGCCTGTCAAAATTCTTGACCCTGGGAATGAGACTTTCTTTCAGGCACGGTGCATTTTCATAAATGCCAGTAGGAGCACTTGGAGAAGCCAGAGGAACATATATATATACATATATATATATATATAGTGAAAGTTTCAGCAAATATGACAAAAAAATTACTTACTAAATTTTGGTAACATTCCTCGAAGGCATGAATCAGCTCAACAGCCAGGAACTAACCATGTCATCGGTTCTTATAAGGAATGCTAACAGCTTTAACAGCGCAATCTGTTTAGAGACTAACAGCAGCTGAAAAGGTTTTTGTGGACCTCCAGTGGTTTAATTTCTCACCTTGCTTCATTGATGTAGAAGTGTACTCCAGGGTGTGTCAGTACACCATGACATCACTGTCAGGTGTGTGGTTACAGATGCAACAAAGCACACTTCTTTCCAGCATGAGTCTTTGTAGTTGGTGACATGTTTTTGCACATTGGCTGTTGGTCAGGACCTTCTTGTTTTAAAATGTTTTAGTGTTCAGAGTTTTATGCAGAAGATAAACATATATATAAATATGCAGATACATTTATAGAGACAGTGTTCTGCCAGAATCAGAAATCAATTATTTAGATGTTTTTATTGTTGATTGTTGACATGTTTGAATAATTTGACGCACTTAAGACACTTAACTGGCTTTAATTCTATATTTTCCACTTCAACTTTCTTCTGTCTGTCCCTCCTCGTCTTCTGTCTGTCCCTCCTCTCCTTCCTCCATCTCCTGTCAGTTTCATTAGTGTTGTCAGAAAGCTTCTAACACTGTTACACACCTGTAAACCCGAGCGTGTCAAAGCTTTTCACAAGTTCTTCCTCTCCTTTAAAAAAAATATATATAT